GTTCCTATTCTTTGGGCGACAACAGTCATTGATTAGTATAGATCTCTATGAAATAGTATTATGTGAAGAATTGAGGGCTACATTCTAAAGAAAAGAGCAAGCCATTAATTACGCGCAAGTGCAAGCCGTATAGCTGTTTCTAATGCATTATTGGCGGAGTAATACAATAGAGGCAGAAATACTTCCATATGGACAATGCAGGGATTCTAGCGGAAATGTTGTTTGTAATGTACAGTGTCTCAGAAATGCTTTTATGTGAAGGTCTCATAACATATTGTTTTAGATACGAATAATTGGAGAACGTGACTAATTGAGGAATAATGATTTATGTGTAGTATTAATTAAAAAATATCGCTCCCCCCAGGACTACGGGCATGTGGAATGTACGCTTAGCATACAGTCCTATTATATGAACCATGCGTCTATACCTCCAGTATTATTTTGTGTATTGGATACATGTTTCCTGAATATTATTCTGCACCAGGTTCATATTTTACAGTTTTTTTATTTGTAGACTATTATTGGCTGAAGATAACACATCTCGATGGGGATCCATGATATCAGGAACATAATCGTGCGGGTTCTATAACTATGACTGGAAAACGTTTATATGGGAAAGTTACTCCAACGGGTGCTATTATTTGAAAAATAGAATGAGGCGGAGGATATACACTTCCTTGGAAGACTAATATATAAGGAGAACAATTTCGCGACCATTATTAAGTATGTGAGAAGGAGACATTTATCTAGAGTATCACTGCATAAGCAGTAGGAGAATCCGAAGAATCGCTATTGTGGAGTCGTCAAGATTTAAAGCAGGAGACACCATAATTTAAAAAGAGATATTTAGTAAGAGATAATATAGTGGATTCAGCGGTATTCTTGGAGGGGTTCAAATCACTAAGCGTTACACATATATAGGAAATACGAGATGCCTCCGGTATATTTGTATTAGCTCTAAGAATTAGCATTACAACAACTGTTTAGAGGCTAAGCGTCTGTCAAGGGTAATATTCTATGTAGAACAGTGCTGTGTGAGGAGGAAAATTGTTTAAGATAATACAAAGGTTTAGAGAGTCGAATTCCATGAGGAGGACGGCAGTTGTAAAGATCAAACCATTTCACCAATACACTGGCTTGTAAAATAATTCCATTCCAGGCATACGCATATACCAATCATCAGGCTATTCATGCTGTATAGGAAACTGAGGGATACTATCACCAAAAGGGGTTTCAACATACCAAGGTTTCTTATATGTAGGAACAACTTTTTATAGGCAAAGTAAAAATGTAAGTACAGTAATACATCGTGAACTGTGATTATTCCCTCTCGATACTATTGTAATATAGATTCAATAGTTATCCCGGTACTATTAAGAAACAATGATTACGGAACATTTGCACATCCGCCTTAATCTGTAATATTTTTCTCTTAAGGAAACTCGAGATCGATGCCGTAATATTAGAATATAACAATTATGTAAAATGAAAGATTAGACTTGTTATACCCTAGGGAGGAATAGAACATTATAGAAGGAATAGTACTATATACAACAGGCTGTTTCTCGTGGAGAGTTAGGAATAATAATAACATGGAACGCGCCAAGGGGATAAAATGTGCATAAGAATAAGGACACACAGAAAATATTAAAGAATCATTAATCTAGAAGGGGGGGAGCAAGCATATAGGAGCGGATGACTATAATAGAATGTATATACGAATATAACTGACATATTTGAGAAAATTATCTACTTCAAAGAACGGAGAAAGATATATGTAACAACATATAAATAGACCAGAAGCCAGTGGGGATATCAACATGACGATCAAAGTGGAAATGCCTAAAAGGAAAGGTACATAATTAATACATACAGAAGAGACAACCCGAGAGGAGAGGATACAGGGAAAGATGCTCAAGGAATGAAGATTAGACACTACGCCCAGACCATACAACCCGGAAACACAGTAGGGGTGGCACATAACGTATAATGGGAGTAGCAAATCTTTCCCTCTGACAAAATAGATATATGAAATCGAGGGTTTCATGTTTTCTAACATATAAACAAAGGAACAAGGACAGATAATATCTTGAATCTGTGCTGAGTTCATGGAGTATAATATGTCGTACAATAACTTCATTTTTGTCTGTATCTAAGACTATAGATGATGCTATAACGGCCGTCTCCCTATTCACCACATGAGGATGTAAAATGTTAACTGGTATACATAACCCCTTTTATGCATAAGGGAGTATAAGCCTATACAATGCATACTTTCCCCTAATGGAATAAGGACATGTCCTATAAAGGAGTCTTACACCACCATAGAGTTATGAGGTTCTTCTGAAAAATGAGAAGAAGTGAAGAAATACATGATCATTTAGGCAGTGATATGGTTTCTATATCAGTTTTCAGTGTAATGCTATATGGGCATATAAGCGATAATAGAAAAATTTCCTCCCTTAATAATGAGTCAAATACTTTTATAAACATATTATGTGTTATTCCACATGATTAAGTAACCGGAATTTTCGAAAGGATTCGTGAGTTGTTGTGGGGATAATCTGAGTACACGGGGGGATATTTATGTTTCCATACCTTATCATAATGTACCTTTACGCACCACCTGGCAAACGAATAAAGGTTTAAAAAGCTGGATACAGAATGTTGTGGCTTATATGATATTTTCTTTGCTATATAGGATACCATGAAGGATAATATAAAAGCACCTCTCGTGAACTGCAAAGGGATAAATAGGCAGGAGAGTATCAGATAAGAAAGGACCCTCATATAATGGTTAGGAATTTACTGATAAGAGATAGTGTATATTATAACAAACCCCGAGGGAAAAATCACCATTCCAAGGAGGCGAAACCAGAGAAAAAAGGGAATATGGGATTTCTGTCATGACAAAATAGATCAAGAAATACAAGCCGCTAAGGAGGAAAGACTAGTGTAAACCAAGGCAGGAGAAGGGCGCGAGCACACCTGACAACTGACAGGCGCAACCAAAAATAACCCAACGGCCGGACTATGAAAACTGAGAGAGGTTTAATAGAGGAGATGGGACAGTAAAAAGTATGAAAATGGAAATCATAAGAAAATCTTTAGGGAAATCCGTATACAGTAATTATTAGGAGGAGAAGAGACATACAGAACAACAGCAGGAGTGAAAGGGAGAAGAAAAGAATAGAGGAAGGAGCAGGAGAGGGATATCGTAATTTCCCCCCGAGTATGCCTCTACAAGAAAGATCCGTATGAGAGGTAAACCTCCTATATTATGACTTACTCGGCAAATAGGAGAAGAAGGATACTACAATGGAAGGGGGGGGAAAACTGGAAAAGAAACAGGGGACAATTCATTCAACAGATATAAACATGGAACAACCAGGAAGAATCCTATAATAAGAGAATGCAACGGCAAAACCGAGGAATACAATAGTGAGAATTATATATGATTAGGAACCCACAATCCAGGACAAATCCCCTACAAAGTACGGGTATAGATCGACTAAGGATAATCCAAGTAAATCTCCAACAATGAGATATACAGCCGCAACCCACCCTAGCCTATGGAATGAATAAGGATAAATATATATACCAATGCAACTGAGCAGAAGTACAGTGAGGCGTATATAGGAGACTTATAGGGTAAAAGATTAATACAAACGCGTGTCTCAAGCTGGGACAGGGGGCCGTGGGGGGCTAGAAGAAGGAGGAATCAAAAATCGACATTATAAAGTGAAATAGGGGTATTTTTATATAGGGGGAAACAAATGAATACAGTCTCTAGAGTAATTCTTGCAATTACAGCCGAGCCATAATAATATATCGAGTAAATAACAGAAAGAATAGGAGCCTAGGAATTTAAAGCAGAATCAGAGAACCCATAACCCCCCCACTAAGGAATAGGTTCAAATAAATAAAGCACAAGAGTCACTACCACAAAAGTCAAGGGTAAAAAGGGGTAACCGGGAGTGGCGTTAAATAGAGGAAGAATTATTCACGAAAACAACTCACCGGAACTGACTAAGGGGAAAGATAGCAGACGTGAACAGTGGTGTACATATTACAACAGCGAGGCACAAAACTTCCTATCCATTACACTACAAGGAGCTGGGGAGTAATAACTTAGGATTAGTCAAGCACCGACTAGACAAAGAGAAACTAGTCACCCCCCCAGAGGCCAAAGACCCAATTGAATAATTAAGTTACAACCCAAGAATGAAGAAAGCAAAGAACCCACCCAAGGAGCAATAGACCAATACAGAGCAACAAAGAGGGAAAAAAGTGAATAGGAAAAAGTCCGTGGAAGAGAGAGCCTCTGTCCCAACCCAATAAAAGGATAAAACAACTAAAAAAAGTCATGACTCTCCCCCAAGGAGCAGTCAGAAGGATACACCCAATAAGGGAGAAGTATACCCCCATAAAACTGGAAAATCCGATGTGTGGGGAAGGGCGGGATCCAAATCTGACGTGATAATGTTAACAGACAAAGAAAGGATTCATTAGAAAGCAATGAGCTAGCGGGGGCACCCAAGGGACTCGGGGGGGTATACAGACGGAGAGGAAGTCTATGCAAATCTGATGAACACAAAAACAAGAAAATATTTATCCGTGGAACATTTAGATAGTATAGGAAAAGTGCAAATCCCACTAACCTAAGTGCAAAAGAGAAGGTTGAAATCACCGAAGCAGAAATCAAACAAAAAGGGATGCCGAAGAATAAGCATTGTAGGAACCTACTAAGAAAGAAAATAGGCTGAATTAGCATAATCACAGACTCAGTTCGGTTAGCGTCACAAAGAGAGAAAAATCAAACAGGATCAAGGGAATCTATAGAATTAGAAGGAGGAATAGGCTAACTCCCAAATATAACTCGCCGGAAGGGGCAAAACTTATGGACCAGCTCACAACCCCTCCACCTCCCGAAGCAGCCATGCCTACACCAAGTGGCATTTGAGTAACAAGCACAGTAAAAGGAAACTTTAAGCAGATCGATGGATTCAAAAAAATCGAAGAGGGACAACTCCTACCTTTACAGTACAAAGAGAAGGAAGGAGTCTAGAAGCAGGGGAAATATCAAGATTAAAGAAGAGACACCGACTGAGGCAAAGGAACAAATAAGAATCCTGGGACAAGATCCAAAAGGACATCATAGAGATAGAGTGGTTAAAACTAGGATAATGGGAGGAAGAATGCAGTAGGCGAGCGTTAGGGCCCCAATGGGGTTCACCTGAATGGAATAGAGCGAATGATTATACTGACAAAATAAAAACCACAACCGATAAGAGGAGAGAACCCACGAAATAACCCGACACTATATTCCCTGCGGATCCAAGCGAAAAAGATAAACAAGAGATAAGACAAGGGTGAATCACTACCCAATGCGGGACAGGGAGGCTCATAAACCACATCACTGCCAACACAAGGAGTTCAACCCGACAAGGGCAGAGAATAAAAAACGCAGAAGAGAAATAGAAACTGAAGCGAGAGCCTAGTCCAACAACTCCGTCTCTCCTCAAAGGACAGCGAAATGAAGAGGACAAGTTGTATTAAAAGGAGGGCTTACCGGAGCAGAAGGCGTAGTGGTCTGAGTTAGTGTCTAGGAATCAAGAGCTGCAGTACCCCGCCAAATATGAGACAAATGTCGAGATAAACCAAAATAGTTGATAATGACCAACTCCCTAGGAGCCATGAAGAATACTCCAGTTCCAAGAATCCGCAGAGAAGTAAATGGAATGACCAAAATGAAGGACTGAAGCAACCAGATATAGAAAAATTTTTATCGCCAAAAAATCAGATCCCTTTGTAAAAAGGTAAAGGTAGAGAAAAGGAGAGAAGCAAACGATGGAGTCAGAAGGATCCCACGCGTGAAGACTTTTTGGGGGAAATTATCTGAGGGCTGATATTCCGGCGAAAGTTTTCCCAACACAAGAACAAAGAGAAGGATAATCAGAAAATGAAGAAAGCGATGAATCGGCCCAAGCCAAGCAGGATACAGAAGAAACTATGGGCGTCCAAATACACCCGAGGAGAAATATGGCGCAAACCTTCGCAAACTGCAATCAAATAGGCAACAGTGTAATAATCCCTCAACGTTAACAGGCGATATGCAAGGAGAAGAGTTCTAAATAAGAAGCCGAAATCAATAATCTGTCTAAATTCGCGGAATCCAATGAAAACAAATGAAAAACACGAAACCAGGAGGACTACATAGTTAGGACTACAGGACCAAGTATGATCAGGAAGGACTACTACCGGACAAGTAGGGCAAATCTGCGGGGAAATTGAAGTGACGAAGGAAGGAGAGGCCAGGAGAAGAAGCAGCCAAAGCGGAGTATTGTACATATAACCCCAACTGGCAAGGATAATGTCAAACTGCGCCGGTAAACCTGCCAAGAAAATCCTTCAATGCTAGCGAGAGGTCATAAAGGAATGACTAAAAGAGGAATTACCCGACAGGAACGATTAGGTCCCTTCTCCAATCAACTGAAAATATGACCAGGAGACGGACCCTCCTCAATGCTCCCCTGGGGAACATATACACGCAGATATTCACTAAAGAGTGTACGCAAGAGTCTAGGAAGGAGTAACCCATACTACCCCTCAAAGGGCGCCAGCGCAGCCATAAGAAGATCATGGGGAAACAATGAATAGATGATAAATACAAGTAAAGGGTGCAAGGAGGATACACCCTGATAAACTCTCTTAGCAAAGAAATTAGGGACAAAGTGTAGTACAGGTGAGGTGGACTAGGAGGAGCCCAAGTAATTAGCACGATGCGACAATTCGGCTAATTCCCAACATATTCGTATGATAATTGGTATAGTAAACCTATGGACGAGTCAGGACGCTCAGACCAGGATTCCTCCAAGAAAAGAGACGTCACAGGACACCACCCAGGGAATACAAGACAGCGCCTTATGTGAAAGAATGAATAAGGACCAACGAGCCCTGGGGACAGGACACAAATGGAGAAGAGTACAAGGAACAACAAGTAATATCGAGAAGCGTATGCGAGGAATCAGAAGACAACCTAATGAATCGGAAGCCTAAGGAAAAATTGAATACTTCCACCAGATTCCGGCATTATTGAAGCCCTTCCAGGAGCAATAAATCCTCCTGCAAGACAAGGAGGCCGAACAGTCCAGGTGCCTTTTTATAAATCTAACACCCTAAACCAAAAGAATGGAATATACACATCTAAGATAAAGCACATAGTCCTAGCAGCGCAAATGTCAGAATGAAAATGCCAAATGAAGGATTCCCCTCAATTGGAATACGATTTAAAGACAGGATAAGGCGGGGAGGGCATCTCGGAGAAGTGGGAGGTAAAATGACCACGGAAAAGGCGAACAACCGACGAGATAAAATACACGTAGGAATAACTAGAGTTGAGGATAATCAGGGAATAAAAGGACTGGTAATCACAAAACATCAACAACTTGAGATGCGAGGAAATGCCAGAAGCTAAATGTCCGAAGGAACAAATGTGTACACCTGTTCACTACAGTGAGTCATATGTAGTTTAGATGCAATAGAGACGTCCGGAAACAACGGAATAGTCGGCAACGAGGTAAAGCAGCGAAGGAATCTACGGAGTAGGTCAGAGGAATCTAGTTCCAATCTATTACGTAATAGACAAATCCAAATATTACCATCCTCCCAATAAGCCGGAACGGCAGCGGAAGAGGAAAATCAAGGCAAAATGAAGAATTAGACCGCAAACGATAAGGATAATTTAAGTTAGCATATGAATGAATAACACCTGCTCTTGAAATTGAGGGCTCTATAGTGGAAGACTCTATTTCGGCAGCAACAAAGATAGCACAGCCCAGACAGTGGAGTTTATTAAAAGAAGGAAATTCTACAATACAACAAACTTCTAAGAAAAAACTAAAGGAATAGTATGAAGAAAACGCCGAAGGGGTCAGCTCCAGAAACAACAAATGAAGAACAACCTCACATATCAGGAAGGGAGCAATAATAACCAATCCAACACGTAGGAGTCAGGATGAGAAAGAGCCGAAACAGCTCAATTGAGGAATCTTTCAGGAGGAAGAAGGATGAGATACCAATAAGCAACCCAAGAAGATTGAGAGGAGGCGTAAGATTAAAGAATTCTTCATCGAAGAAAAAAATCGAACCCCAATCTAGGACAAAGGAGCAGAACGAGTATTAGCGACAATAATCGAAAAGAAAAGATCCTCAATGGAATAGCCGAAAGGGATAGACGCAGTAGATTATCTAACAGGAGCCAAATAAATCAACTGGAAAGAAGGAAGAACCAACCTAACTTTCAAATAGGAGCTGGCACGAATCAAGTGACGAGACACTCCCTATACCTCCTTATCAAGTATCATACATTCATAAGCAAAGAACAATCCGAAAGGGAACAAAGATATTTCTGACTACACCCGAAGATAAGTTAGCGGCGGTTACAATAGAACAACAAGGAAGAAAAACGGATCTCTCACTTCAACAAAGGAGGAATTATGCAAACCGAAGCCTTCGAAGTAGCCCCAGCCAAATAATGTAAAAAACTTCCTCCAACACCCCTACTAAGGGGAAGAAATAGTTTCTGGAATCGGGAAAGGTGCAACAGGGGTAAGCCGGAGCAAGAAATAACAACAACAAGGGTAGAACAAACATAACGAAAACTTCAATTTAGGAGGCAATTCACCAAAGTATTACAAGATGAAATCAAGTGTCTAAGGGAGAAGAATCCCCAGAAGCAGTCGGTCAAGTATTGACACCAAAACAGCGCAAGGGAGGAAAGTCTCTGCAACTAGCGGCGTCAAGGTACGAAATAACCAAAACTAACCCCCACGGCACGTAGGTGTAAGAGATAGCTGACAAATAAATAACCAACTGGAGGAGCCCGAGTATAACCAACTCCTGCTGGACATGAGGTCGCCAAAATGAGGAAAACCACAAGAAAGCGTTACACCGGCACGGACAAGAATAGTGAATGACGAATGGAGGGAAGTTGAATTAAGGAGGGAAATGAATATGGACTACACAACAGCAAGCTACTGCAGCCAATTCGAAACAGAACTGCAGAGGAGGCACCCCAGATAATGATCCCCCCCTGATAAAATACGGCAGGACGAAGACGCAAGTATACTATAAATAGAACAGAGTATATTAGGAGCAAGTATATGAAGCGAGGCAACCAAGTACCGGCGTAATTTTTAGATACCCCTGGACGGAACCCACAGAAGGACTAAAAAGCGAGGGATTAGTCTCGAAGTGCAAGAATAGAAAACGCAAGCCAATCCAGGGAATAGTATTTCTGTGACCAAGGGCCGGCAACAGCAATGATGAGGGGGGGAAGTAGGGAGCCTTCTGAAGCAGACTTCCAGACTCTGTGATAAATAGGAGAATTAGAGGAATGAGATAGCGTATTGGAAGAAGAAGAAACAGAGGATCTCTACAGCAAATCACACCCGAAAAGTATAGTTCAGGAAGCAGGAAGATAGAGGAAGAAGACCAATCAGAAAAGAGCAGTGAAAAGTGACTATTAAGGCAAAAAGGAAGGACCAACACACAGCAACCACAACAACCGGATGAAATACACAATGAGAAATCACTATGGGAGGAAGAAAACTCTGAATAGCGTGAATCTTTGCCAACCGTCGTGATAGATAGGATAACGTATAAGTATATAAAGACAAGAAAGGATTAGTCTGAGGACCAAAGAAACCACCTTGATATGGCAATACTCCGGTCCTACAGATAAATGAGGGACAAGTTTGAAAGGAACTTCGCTAGGGAACCAAGGAAAAAATATATGTAAGGATCCAGCAGGGCGGTACTAGTACAAGATCCAGTGCAGGAAAAAGAGATCCCTGTGAAGAGTAATACACGAAGGAAGGCACAAAGCGGACGGCATTCCGAAGAGAGCGAAGTATGAGTACCCGCAGAAGTCAAAGTAAAGAGAGTTTGTCTAAGAAGACGATAAATAAGAAATCAAGGAAACAAAAGAGAAGCATCTGAAGCCGAACCTCCGAATCGGGAAATCAGGATACCGAAGGCATCCCAGGCGGCCCCCCCGACGACAGGAACAGATCCCAGAGGGGAAATACAGGAGTTGACAGACCTTAACCGTCGGGAGGTTCCGGATCTGGAAACTAAAGGAGGACGAATATTATAGTAAAATCTAGATTACTCAAGTTTGACAGCTTAGAGAGATAAAAAACAATGGAGAAGAAATCTAACAAGAAGGAGAAATCAGGTAGATGACATAGGAAAGTAATAGAGAAGCAGGAAAGACATATCCCCATGTAGGGATAAGGGGACTCCTCCACAGCTGGGCATCTGAAGGGAAGGAAAGAGAGGATTATCGAAGGAAAAACAACAAGCCAGAAGTATCTGAGAGAAAAAGCAAATATATTAACAGGACCAAACACAACAAGTCAAGCATGGGGTGAAGTAAGATTAAAAAGGCATAAAGGATGTATTGCACGTGGTAGATTGAGGCAATAATAACCACAGATATACAAAACAACCAACCCCAGCACAAGAAGTTTCTTAAGGGAGGATTTTAGAATAAGAATTAACCTATAACCAGGATGACAGACAACATCTTCAAGTTTAATGATTACATGCGCAACATAAGAAAGAAGGAGCCCACCAGATCTCCCTGCACCCAATCCCCAGATCTAGTAAGGACCCTCTGTGACATAAATGCGGGGAAACAACCCTTCCAATCCCCAGGAGAGATCGAAGATCCATTAATCATTAGATCAGCTGACGCCCAATTGACTCAAGTCATCAACAGCAGGAAGAAATTCTGTTTAGGTCTACAGCTATGGGCCTCTAATTTAGAGATCACAAAGGGAGGGGGGAAAAACCTGTTGCAAGAAAAAAACTGTCGAGCCAATGACACAAGATATGGAATCGGAGGAGGAGCAGGCTCAGGCACCTGTATTCAGCACGCAGAGACTGGAATATGGGAGAAATGGAGAAAAGAAAAAATAACGAGCTTGAGGGAGAAGTCAGTTAAAAATCTCGTAGCCTGTATGGATATAGTAGAGATGATAATAGATTCCTTTCACATAGCCCCAGGGAAATCCTCGCTTATGCAGGAAGCAGAGCTGAGCAGCAAAGGATGTGAGAAATTGGCAAATAGATTAGACAACTGGTCAAACCCAAAAGTCAGAAATGAAATTATGCGGCAATGGTTTAGTAGTGAGCAGGAGGGTACGTGGCAGTATAATAATTATCAGTTAGGGGGAAAGGACTTTTTTGAATTTCTCCAAGAATTAGTCTATGGAGATGGGAAAGCTCACAAGAATGTGTATTGTGCCAGAAAGGGAACCAGAAATGCAGACGGAACAGAATGTGAGGGAGACTGGTGTACCATAGTAAAGGCGAATTCCGTCTCCCTGGCGGCAGGGGGAGGAGAAACAGAGGGACCTGATATTACGGGTCCGGCGGGAGAGGGGACCGCAAAGGTAAAGGGCCAGGAGCAGTCGATGACTGACAAGGAACTCGCAACTCCCACAGTTGCCGAAGCTGGAGACGACGGACAGCGTACATTGGGCGGTACTGGTCCGGAGGCATCTAAGGAAACAGGGTTAACGCCAGGGCCCAGGAAGGACCTAATGGGAGGCCAAGAGACTTCGCAGGGGAGTAGTATCTGGGCGCCCTTAATGGGTGGGGGAGTCGCTATGATATTAGGAATTCTTTCAGTATATGGAGTATACCGTATATATTATAGAGGAGAGGCAAAGAGACTGGGGGGGTATGGGAGAAGTCGGAGAAACGGCAACAACCCCAAGCGGTTAGGGGGGGGCACACCACGGAACATAAAATTGAAACATTTCTGATAACATATGGGGCTTACTGTCGATTTCCAAAAATCCAAAGGGAAGAATGATACCAAGGAGGCGACCTGGGCACTGTAGAAATGGGGAACTCGGGCTACCCCAGCTTGGGTGGACTCTACCACCGGGCGGGTCCTTAGAAGAGTCACGCATCGAATGTACTGGGCGGCTTATTGGGGGGATCTCAGGGTTACTGGTTTGAACATTACTCTTCGGGGTGTACGTTTTAGCTTTGGGGTTTATGGATTGAGGTCTTAATTTCGTAGTTTCAAACGGGGGCTTTTGGCTTTAACGCTCTCGGTTTTGCGGGCATTGTTCAAGATTCAGAGTCTAGGATTCGGGATCTGACTCTAGGACTTCACGGGTTTGGGCTTAGGAGTGATTTGTCTTGGATCAGGTGTAAACCTTAGTGATTCGAATCTAGGATAGTGGATTAAGGTTCCGGTTTGGGGTTTAGCCTTAAGAGTTAGGTTTAGGGTTCAGGGCTCAGGGTTCAGGGTTTATCTATTAGGTTCCTGGAATTAATGTTCACTCTTTAGGCCTTAGGATCTTGGGCTTACGTTTTACGTTTCAGGGTTCAGGGTTCAGGGGTTAGGATTTAGGTTTCAAGTATAAGGCATCACGACCCAGTGGTTATTGTTCTTGGTTTTCGATTTAGGTTTTATATTTCACGTTTTTGGTTTCCATGTCTATGGGCTGAAGTCTAAGGTTACGATGTTGCTTTAGTTCTATGTCTTACGTTTAGGCTCGTGAATGGAGGGTTGAGGGTGTAGTTACGATTTTTTTTTTCTTTAGGTTTTAAGTTTTTGGTGTGCCGTTTTATGGTTCCAGGTGTCCTGTTTACAGTTTCGGCGTCGCCTCTCAGGTCAATGTTTACGGTTTATGGTCGAAGCTTTAGGTGTTTTAGGGATCCTGTTTTAGGGAGGACGGTATAGGGTTCAGGCTTAGGGATTATGTTTTAGGATTTAGGTCTTAGTCTCTAAATGTTTTGTGTTGATTTTAGGGGGTAACTTCCACGGGTTTGGTTTCTGGCTTCAGGTTTTTTGATGCGCTGCTGTGGGTTTCGGCCTAAACGTTTATAGTTTCTGATTTAGGCCTCATGGTTTATGCTTTAGAGCTTAGTGGTCAATTTTTAGCGGTTATATTTTCGACTCATGGATTAGTTATAGTTATTATGGTTCAGGATCCAGGGTCCGGCTTCTAATGTGTACTGTTTAGGGGTGTGGGTTCAGGTTAGAAGGTTTAGGCCTCAGTATGGCATCTTCATGTTCAGAAGTCTCTTAGGCTCTAGGGTTTAATGTTGAGGGTTTAGGGTTTACTTTTCACTCCTTATGAGTGTGGATTTATTGGTTAAGCTTCACGGTTGGGCCTCCAGGGTTTATTTCTTACTTTTTCACCTATTGGCCGATGTATTAAGTGCTTATGGTTTACGGTCTAGGCACTTTATTTTTCTTGGGGGTAAAGTTCGGAATTTACGGGGGGCTTTTCCTTATGCCTAAGTCTTTACTTGTAACTTTTTGTTTCTTGGCCTAGCGTTTACGGCCCACAGTTTGACAAAGCAAGTTTATGATGTATTTTTCAGGGAGATTTTCTTAGTTTGGTGGGTATACTTCTTGGCACTTCATTTCAGGCCTGAGAATGGCAGGGGGGTTAGGGGGGGGTTTCCTGGTTCTTTCTTTGGCGGGGTTAGGATGACGGCATTAGTTTATATGATCTATATTTTACGAGGATGCATTTCCTGCTGTCTCTTGGCTCAGTTATTTTTGAGGTTTTGCCATCCAGTCGTTTTTCCTCATTGATAGGCTCTTGTTGCTAAGTCTTTGTTGTCCGAGCTTATTCTTGTCTTTTAAGTTTTCCTGATCCACCGTCTCTCTTCGGGGGCTTTTTCCTTATGAATTAGATTGGTTCTCTCAGGAATTAAAATTGTTGGGTACGGTACCAGTTTCCTTCTAAGTTTTTAGGGTGTAAGGATAAGGGGGCAGTCTTTGCCATGTTGCACTAGATTCTCGCGACAGCGTTCATGGCCACAGGCTTCTTAGTCTCTGGATTTCTAGTCAATCCCTACTTCCGGCCTGGAATATCTAGGGTGCCGTCTTTGGGTTGTGCCTGTCCTGCTCGATGGTTTTGTCTTCACCTGTGTGCCTCTGGCGCAGCGTGGGACAATCTTTTATGAGGTATACTGGAGATTTTCCTCCGGTGGTTTGTATTGGACATTGAGGTTCCTTTGCCAGTGGGCCCTTTATTTGATTAGATAGATGATTGATTCTGCTGCACCGGTTTAGACGCTTCGGTTGCGAGTATAGCTTTTCCGGTTGATTTTGGGGGGATAGGTTCCAGAGACTTTTATTATGCAGATTCGGTCAGTTGCTAGGAGTTTTCTCCTAACTTGTAGATTTATGGCTTATTGTTTATGGTTAAAGGGTGGGGTTGGAGGTGATAATTGTCTGATTTTAGCGGTTTAGGTCGTATGTTTTAGTCTACAAGCAGTACTTATCTGCTTCTAATATTTGAGTCTTAGCTCCCAAGGTTCCGTCCACAAGCGTGATCTTTCCCTAATTAGGTGCTAGTGTTATCTGTGATATCTTTTAAGTTCCGGATGTAGGAAATAAGGATTTTTTTAATATCTAGGGCCCGGGGTGTCAACCAGAGTTTTAGGTGTGCCTTAGGTTTCCTGAATTCGGGATCAGTACTCCCTTCTTGGCCTCCACTCTTTGTGCTTACAGTTGGAGGGGTATCTTCCTTATTTTATTAGGCAGGTTTCTGTACCCTGGGGCATACATATGAGAGGCTTCCTCCTGAGTCTTGGCCTCTATCTTGAGGAGTTAAGGGTGTCAGCTGGTTGTGGGGGTGCGGTTTAATTTCTTATCCTTATTGCTTATGTTTAGATTTCATACTGTATGACCTAATTCCTCGAACTTAGCTCTCTTCTTTTATGCTTGGTCCCCAGACATGAAATTTCACGGCTGAGTGCCGAGGATTCAGGGGGTCAAGTGGGCACTTGTATCTTATAGGGTTGGTGATTCAGATGTGATGGGGGCCGGTTCCCTGTAGACTGTTTGGTTCAGGTGCATAGTCTTCTAGTCGAGTCTCAGGTTTTAGGGGCTATTCTTAGCTGTAGCCTCCGGAGCTAGCCCCCATTCTTCCTGGTTCCGGAATGACTTTTTACTTTCTATTGTCTCCTCCTGAGGGGGTCATTCTCTTGGTTTACGGGTTAGTCTTAATTTATAACTCTTGCTGCGTCGTGTTGTTGGCTTCTCGGTTTCAGGGTGATAACTTGGAGGCTTCGCTTTTCCACTACGATTCAATTTGTTAGGTTTCTGCGCTTAGGCTTTATGCGTAGTTTTCACATTGAGGCTCTATTTCCATGGGGCAAGACTATTGCGTTAAGTTTAGAGTTTATCTGTTAGGACTTGACCGTTTCCGCTTCGAGGTATATAGGTCCTGTCTATTGCCACTTCAGATATCGGTAACTCCTTAGGTTCCATCCCTCAGGGAGTATGCCTTAGCCCAGAATGATTAAGTTCCTGATTTTAGATGTAGGCATTGGGGTGTGAGTGGTCCTGTTCTTGCTGTATTTCCTCGGTTTTAACCTTTATGGGGCCTCAGGTATCGTCTATGGTTTAGTTGGAAGGAGGTATCTTGCATGCTACAGGCATTCGGGGAAACAGGCAAAGCTTATGCGTAGAGATTGGAAATGTACATCGAAGAAGTAGGCTTTTAGTTTTTTCATCTTTTCTTCATTATATGGTGTCTATTTGGTACTGCTTAAGCTGCGCTGTTGCCCTCCTGCCTGAGACTTCCTCCTGTTCCCTTCTTTGCCTAGGCCTGTTCTCCCTCTGTTATCTTCCCTTCTGGCCTCGATCCCTGTAATTTTGAGGCCTGCTATTTTAAGGAGTCGTCTTAAAGAGTACACTTTTCTTTATATTTCTTATCTGTACCTCCTGGTTCTTAGGCTTCAATTGTACCGGGCTACGTTTCAGGACGTAAGCACCCCTCTTATCCGGGTGCTATTCACGTCATGTCGCTATTGGTTTATGGTGGTCTGCCGTTGTGTTAAGTCTTCTTGTTCACTCTTTACTCTTCAATATTTAGGATTAATGCTTGATTTCTTATCCCCCTAGTTCCACTATTGAGTGTAGTGGCCATGCTCTATCTCCTAGTTTTATGCCTTCAGGTTCCGGTGTATTGACGGGGGGTTCCTCCTACCCCTTAGCGCTTATTAGTATTGTTGGATAAGTTATTTAGGCGGATAAGACTCACTGATTATGCGCCTCTGGTACTGTGATCATTTTTAGGTTCCTATGATCTAGGGTTTAGTTTCTGGGTTGTAGCTTTTGGGAGTTAGTCTGTATATTTCATGGCTTAGGTTATACGGATTATCAGTGAGGCGCGTTTCTTCCCGTGTACTGGCACCCTGTATTCTTTATTTCCAGGGTTAATTCCTTACATATGTTCCCCTATTTCTGTTGGCCATCTTTATTTCCTATCTCCTTATGCTTAGGATCTTTTGCCATATCTTGACGTTGTACGGTTCCCATCCCTTGGTGGTGGATTCAACTTCACTGTTTAGGACTTAGGGGATACCCTTAGGGTTTATTTGTGCTTGATGAAAGGTAGGGTCGTTCTCGCACGCCCTACGCTCACGGTGTATATCGTCTGTGTACTTTGCTCTGTTAAGGTGTATCTGCTATGGTTCATGCTGCAACGTGTTTTGGTGTATTTGGTCCTATTATTCTTCAGGGTATCTCGCCGAATGTTTTTGTTTTAGGCATCATTTTTAGTTTCTACAGGTATTAATTTGGGGCGCCATGGTGTATCGGTTTTTCTTTCCTTCTTATGGTTTTGATATCTGTTTTATTACTTGTTTTTCAACGTCGAGTTTTTGTGGTGTATGATTTACTGTTCAAGCTTCATGGTTCAAGGCTTATCCTTCCTGTTTCTTGCCCGTGCCATCAGCCTCTAAAGTCTATTCTTTACGGTTACCCATTTAATGCTGTCCCCTC